TCGCGCTCTCTCTCTCTCTCTCTCTCTCGCTCTCTCTCTCGCTAGCTCTCTCGCGCTCTCTCTCTCTCTCATGCTCTCTCTCTCTCGCTCTCTCTCTCTCTCGCTACTTCTACTGAAACCACGCCTTCTTTCTTTGCGTGAACATTTGGGTGGCAGTATGCAAATATTTCCACATAGTGAGGTAGAGAATCTTGAAATCGCATCATATGACCCCTTTAATTAACAGATATGGATGTCATGCCATAACATTTTTAATACGAGACTGAGTTTATATTTAAAGTGAATTTAACATTTAGTAACACCAGCATTTTAGCGATGACTCATCTGGACACCTCTGATTGGTCACTGCATTCATAAGCTCAACAGCATCGTGTGCAGGGGCGGATCTACCGGGGTGGCACGGGGTGGCAACTGCCACGCTAAGAAAAAGCTGTGCCACCCCACCTGCCACCCCAGAATTATCACAGAATAAAATAAACAGTGTTTCATGTGCTACTTTTCAGCCGCGGCAATGACAGCGTAACGCAAAATAATGGCAAAAACACGTCTTTTAATAAACTGTGCACGATGGTTGCATGCGCACGCAGCGTGCCAGTGTAGTCGGCTTCATTAACAAATGACTTATGAACCGGATCTTTTTGAGTCAAAACCAGAAAGCGCGGCCCAGTTCACTAACGAATTGTTTTTACATTTGTTCGTGAATGAGATCATTACTGCTTTTCAGCTAACTCAGAAGTCCTCTGAGAAATCTAATCCCGTCCGGATATGTCTGAGATTCATCGCGTAATTGTTTGGTGATCCGATTCTCCGACCGCTCGCTCCATTTTCATCATGGATATAAGCCGTAACAATAACATGAAATCAAAGATGCCGATCACAGAAACTAATAGCAGAGTTAGGTAAGAATCTAGTCGTATTGCAGTTTTATCGATTGTTAATATACCTGATTTTATTTGGCACTTTTTTCCCAAACCATTAATTCAGTTTTCAAAACAAAGACACATTTCTCAAAAAGTTTAACAATTAGTAAGTTAAACATTAGGTAGCAAAACTGATTACACACCAATCAGAATCTCTGCATGCATCCTAACAACGGAGAGAAGAGAGAGCTGAGTCAATCATCTACAGGGGTTTTATACTTACACATACAGTATAATTACAGTACAGTACCAGTACATTAGATAATGGAAATGTCACTATTCTATATGTACAGTAAACTGTAGAACATGTTGTAGGCCTACACCTTCAAGCGTGTGACTGTCAAATTTTTTATATTGTGCATTGACTTGGTGCCATGATGGATATTGAAATATTGTTATTTATTTTGTTTATTTATTTATTTTTATTTTGTGTGTGATTGGTTAATGCGCAGTGATGTAAAAACGCGTATGTATCTGGCTCAGCGCCAGCCAGCGAACGCAGATTTGAATTTAGCAGCTGATGATATGACGCACTGAATGTTATAATCACGCCGGTGTGATTGTATTACCTTGATCTCAAAAATCACTTTGAATGGGCATGACGCCTCTGACTAACACACAGTTATGAAACTTTGTCCTCAGCCAAAACTATTTGCTCTAGAACAAATATTAGATTAATTAGACCAATGTTTGCCCGTTAGATATAGAAGATCTGGCCGAGGTAAGGCTGCTCTCAGCGGGTTCATGAGCGCTGAACGGCTGCGGACCTATAGGCTTAGATCTCTGCCACAATTCTGCGCGCGAAAGATCATATTTTGAGTGCACAAAATA